ATTATTTTTAAGGATAATCGATTATTTTGTTCTTTTGAATTTCTGGAAATCATTCAAGAACAGAATAATCGATTATTTTACAAGATAATCAATTATTTCAAAGAGCACATTCTGGGATAATCGATTTATTTCATAGGTAATTGATTATTACAGCAAGGTTTCTCAACTATTGAAAAATAGAGTAGAAATAATTGATTATAGTTAGTAATAATCGATTATTTTGAGTTAGTTCTCAAAATTTGATTTCACACATTCAGAACCTCTCAGAACTTGATTCACCATCCATGAATCTCAACATTATTTTCCTTTCTTTCGGAGCTATCTTGTTACTATTTTTCTTTTGTTGTAGGTACTGTATTTATGACACAAAATGTTCCAAAGCAAGACCACAATAACAAAAATTTAGAAGTAGAGAAAATTCAAAAGGACTCCAAAAATTGGTGAAATTTTGGCTACAACTCTTGTTTCCACTTAGGACTTTGATTTTCAAACTTTTTGAACTTCAAAGAGATAGTTAAAATGTAATATTACTGCAACTCAAAGAGTTTTAATGCTTCACCAAAATTTGAAATCAATTTAAATTACAAAAAAAATCAAGGAAACAACAAATAGTAAAAAAAATACAAGACATATGGAAACCTATCTCTATTAGGAGCATATATTAATGATCTAATAACATGCATGAACTCAAAGGTCATAAACAAAAAAGCACTTAAATAGTTCAGTCCAGTACATATACATGTGTATTTTGCAAGATTAATTTTCAAAAATTAAATGAGCAAACAAAGACTAAACGAGACTTCTAAGACATAAACATTAATATAGATTTCAAAAAAAATTCACACATACATCACAGGAGCAGTTGTCATGCTTCTAACATTATATTACACATCAAAATTAAAGGAAAGCTCAAAGAACAAGAATCCTAAGGTAATACACAAAGATTTGGTTCATAAAAACTAATGCTAAAAATTTTCAAGACATTTATGGTCTATCATATACATTCAAAAATTTAGATCTAAGCAACAAACACACTACAATATATGTAAGAAAAACTAAATGAAGAAAAAATATGAAAAAGAAAACTCCATGGAAGAACCAAAGCTCATGATACCAAATATGATGAAAACTAGTGGAGAGATGATTGTATTTTTTCTTCAACTAGCTTCAATGTGTTACCAATCTTCTTCCGCGGACTTGAAACCTTCAAGAAACTCAAAAATCAAGAAGGAGGAAAGGAGGTGAGGCATGTCACTTCTTAGAGAATACAAGTAAGAATGGTGAAGAACTTGCCACAAGGAGAAATTCTTTGATAAAAGTTCATAAGGAGAAGAATCTCGAAGTGAGAGTTAGGACTTTTGAAGGAGAAAACTCAATTTTATTTCTCACAAATACTCAAAAGTGTTTGGATGGTGAGGGTACAAGGAATGTGAAGGTCCCCATGGAAGAATACCCTGAATCTACCTTTCTTCCAAGAAAGACCATTGTTGTATAAAAGCTACAAGATGAAAGTTATCCTATAAATCATTTTCAAGATAGGGCCGAATGGAGAAAGCTCATGGAGAAGCAGTGTGATTGGTTCCATGTTGCTTATGCATAGTTTTGGGCATCAGCAAGACTAGAAGCACATGCTTTGGTGGATGAGGTGGATCGAACCATGGTGAGGATTAATTCTATCATTATTGCAACTATATCTAATTGTAGAGGGGAAGGGGTTTCCTACTCTAGTGATTGAGAGACGACCATCACGCCAAGAACTATTAATGTGATGTTGTACCCTACCCCTCGCCCTATTGAGAAGGAAAATGAGGGTGGTGAAGTTATCACAGCCACTTTGAAGCAAATGAGATTTCCTCTTTGTTTCTTCAAGTTAAGAGGAACATTGTGGAAGTGAAGATAGAGCCTTAAGAAGATCCACCAACAAAGAAGGCCATCATCAGCTATTGCACCACCAAAAGCCACCCTCAACCACAACCACTTACCCAAACACAAAGTCTTTCCTCTACCATCAAAAATAAAAAATAAAAAAAAACTCATGTACTCAAACCTTTCTACATTCATGTCCATGAGTACTCATCTAAATAAGACAATAAACCATTTTCCTTCCATATCTCTCGCCCAAACCCACTCCTAAGTCACCACCACCACCACCTTAACCATCCATCAAAGCCATTATTCCCCCAAAGTCCAAGAAATATCATTTTGTTCGAGGTTTCATTGAGCCTCAAACCATGAAGGAGGAGTAAAGGATCTTCAAGCATGCCAAGACTCTATCTCAACTAGAGGTAAAAGATTAAAGAAAGAAGGATGAAGAGTTGGCTATTGAAGAAGCCAAAATTCTTAGGAAGCATTACATCTATCTACAAAAGACCTCACTATTGTAGTAGTTTCATATGATTGCATTGGATGTAGACCCTAATCTTCATCTGCACAACCATTGTTTGATGTAGACAAGGGTCTCTGTCCAATTTAGACTGATGAGTTTGCTATTCGAATGAAGCTCTCAAACGTTACCCCTACACCACCGATCCAACCAGATGCTCCAACACCATCAATCCAAGACATAGCACCAGCTACCTTTGTTACCCCTGTTTAAGAAGTCTTATAGCCCACCACTATGACTCTAGACTTGACTGATGAAAATGCTCAATTGTCACTTGAAGTGTTTTCATTTAAGGCTTTACCTATGAGCATTGACACCTCCTTTTTTCTCCCTGCTCCTCATAGCCCTAAGGTTTTTACTTTTGCAGTACCACCAGGAGAGGATGTCAATATCCTAAGCGTTGAGTCTATGAAAGAAGTGGTATGTGAATGCTTTGCGGAGGAGGCCATGATTGATGAGGAATATTAGGAACTCCCTATGTATGATTCCACAAGGAGGTCTCCCTACTATAACAATAAGGAGCACCTACAAATGTGCTACAAGGATGAGAAATCTATTACCATCCATCCTCGGACCATCTTGCAGACAAAGCTTTGGCCTTTTGATTTAAACACACCACCATGTTTGGATCCTCAGACACTCAGATTGATCAACCAACAATGCCATGAACTTGAATACATTTTCCACCCAAGGGCTTCTTTAGAATTGAGCTATAAGGACACCCCTCATAAGCTGCCTCAAATGGTTGGTGGGTTGCATAGGCCATGCCAAATTTAGCCATAGACTCAGTTCTTCATTGCAAATACTCGTCTAGAGGTTTCTTTTCACTTTGTTTGCAAAGGCAAACAAAAGAAATACCAATACTTAGAGAATGTGAACCATATGTGATTTGCTCAACATCATCAATCTGGGGTCTCCAACAAAAAATGAATATCCTCTATATGTTATGGGTCATTTTCTTCAATAGACTCCACCTCCTTTGGCTACTCTATTCTCTTCCAGCAACACTCTCTACCAACCTCATTACGCATACCATTATCTCACTCCTTCAATATTCAATTTGTTATTCGCTTACATGTGAATGTATTTTTCTTTTATGATTTTCCAGAAGGTTCCCCTAATACTACCACTCCTGCCCCTAAACCAACTTCTGCTCCAAGACCATCTCAAGAAGCCTCACAACATGAACGTGAGAATGTCTTGGCTCTTATTGTTAGTTTCCTGACTAGAGCTTTTATATGCCTAATACAAAAGATAAGAATGCCTTGGACGCAAGTTCTAGAAGTTGTTTACAAGACTAAACATGGACATATCTTAGACGAGGAGGAGTAGTCTTGGTAGTTGAGACTAACTAGTATAAACCGCTAAGATTATTCTTTTCTTTGTCTGATCTCTTATATTTGTCACGATTATTACTTCACTGGACTGTAAAAAAGTAAGAGTTTTTGAATAACACTATTCAACCCCTTTTCTAATATTCCTTTTTTCTCTACACTTATTCCTTATGTTTATCAGACAAAAAGGTTCTAAAGAACTTATAACTAGTATTTTTTTTTTTTGCAAAAATCTTAGAAAAAAAAAACTTGCATACACATATAACCCTTTTCTATGTGTTTATTTCATCTTGACAAGAAAGAGATGAGATTTAAAAGAAAGAGGAGAGAAGAGAAAATAGTAAACAAAAAGAGAGATAAGTCAAGAGAAATAAAAATAAAAATAGAAAAAATGTTAAACAAACACTCAAATATTTGAGTAAAAAGTGTGGGATGAGTAAAATATTTATAATTTCTATTTAAAAAATTCAAATAAATATAACTAGCAACAAATAAATATAATTTATTTTGTGTAGAAGTAAATATATACATATATTAATTTGTTTGAATATTATAAGTATGAGAAATATCGTACCCATCATTTAAATTGTTTGAAATGATTGAAGAAGATGAAATGAATATATATATATATATATATATATATATATATATATATATATATATATATATAAA